AGTAAAAATTAGTAATTAACAAATAAAAGTACTTATTAAGTACAGAGGGCAAAAAAACTAACTTCACAACATAAAGACTGGCAGATACCACCTTACTCAAGTGACCAAAGTGAAACCAGCAACGGGACAAGTGGATGCCATGCACCGCCTGACAGCATGCAGTGCGAGCCCAGCCGTAGTAGCTCCCTGCCCAAAGGTCAGAACCTGAATCTAATCCTGAGGAAACATCAGAGAGGCCCAAACTGAGGACACTCTACAGAATACTGGCCTGTAATCTTTAAGCCTCAAGATCCTGAAAGACAGGAATTGTACCAGACTGAACGAGTCTAAAGGGGCTCTGATACTAAATGCAATGAGTGACCCCGAGCTGCATTTTCTGCCATAAAGGTCATTATTAGGACAACTGGTGGAACTTGAATGGGTCCAAGGATTAGACACAGCAGGAATGCATCAGTGCTGATTCCCAGACCTTGATGGATGTACTTCGTTTCTACAGGGGAACACCCTTCCTTGAAGGAAACACAGCAGAGCCGGGCACCTGGTTGGCAATTTATGCTCAAGTGGTTCAGGGAACAAAAGTATCTAAATTATATTTAAACTTCTGCCACTGCTTCAGAATTGTTCAAAATTATACAAGAAGGAGTCTGCCTTCAGCTCAGGTCATGATCTCAGGATTCTGGGATCCAGCCGAGTAGGGCTCCCTGTTCAGCAGCGAGTCTGCTGTTGCTTCTCCCTCTGCCGCTTCCCCCGCTCCTGCTCTCTCTCTCAAATAAATAAATAAAATCTTTTTAAAAAATTATACAAGAAGTCAGGAGAGAGAGGCTGACAGGGAAGCACAGGAACTCATGGCAACAATTCCCCAGAAAAGTCATGAATCTGATGTCTTTACGGCAAACCACAGATATCAGCATCACATGCACAGGCCGCAACTGAATGGCAACTGGCCCATATCCGTGTTCACAGACACTTCTGGCCATTCACACTATGCCAACTCAGAAAAAGTTTTCAAAGAAAGAAATTAAATAACCCAGAGAATGGAAGCAAGATTCCTAAGGTCACCTGGCTAATAAGTGAAAAAGCAAGAACTAAGACTTTTTCCAGGCAAAATTATCTAAATACTATCTCAACATGATTTCTGGGAAAATCTAGAAGTCTTCCTAACCCAATGACCATAGCACAGAGCCAGAATCCCTGAGTAAGGTTTTATGCCATTTAAAAAATAACAGTGGAGGGGCGCCTGGGTGGCTCAGTCATTAAGCGTCTGCCTTCGGCTTAGGTCATGATCCCAGGGTCCTGGGATCGAGTTCCACGTCGGGCTCCCCGCTCAGCGGGAAGCCCGTTTCTCCCTCTCCCACTCCCCCTGCTTGTGTTCCCTCTCTC